ACAGATCTACCCTTATTTACGCAATCATGTATAATACAAAATAATGACTTTTGAAAAGCATCAATGTCTGAGAAGTAATGTAATCATGTGCTGACCACTTTTCCTCCAGAACAGAGTGGACAAAATAACTAATGTATCATAGCAACATCTTAAACATTGTCGCTAAGCAAGCGTATGCATTTGGAATAATACATTACATGGTAATAAGAATAAATTTAGAATGTTGTATTGCTTCGATACTACATATCTATCTGTCTTTCCTAGATAATTAAGATTTTCTCTAATACTAATACAGTAGTGAAAAGTGTTTCAAAGCGTGTATGTTGTCTGAAACGACTAGACAGGATGTATTGTCGCAACTAGGTATCTTTCAATTTTCCTACAAACAATCATTCATATCCCTTAGTACATATAACTGTGCAAGTCCATGTAAGGTGATAATTCTAATGAATAACGTCTTTTCATACATCAACTTTTATGGTCAGAAGCTGGACGGTATGAAGTATATTGACAGTAGTGTAATTTACTCAAAGAAATGGAGTAATAGAGTGTTAGTTGGAACCTTCAGGGTCTATAATGTATCTGTACATGCAAATCGAACAATCTGTGAAAAGAAGCATCATGTGATGGGATGTTTAAGGAGTATTGACTTAGGAAGTTACAACTATCTTGTGAAGTAGATTGACAAGAAAGTTTTAATGGTGATGAGGGCAGCTTCAGTCCTATTAAATGAATTACGAAGATGACAGCATTAAATGTACGGTCCCCATGAAACCGTGATTATTTTGCACTGTAGACCTGTGACATTTCATCCCTATGTCATCAGGATGATTTGTCAACTTTCACGAATTTTTCCTATTACTAATCATTCATTACATTATTTAATACCAATTACATAAATATTGACTGCTTCCTTCATCTGTAAGCAAAAAGTACGCCAACGAAAATTCTATCGTCAGTTACCGAACTCTGAAACTAAAAGTGTTAGAGAAATGTCTCATAACCATTCATATTGGTCCTTCTTTTGTACTTTTACGAGTTACTACCTCATCTTTCCAGCAGACATACAGAAAGAAATCAACGTAGAATCCCACACAGAAGTGCACCGATTTAATTTGTCACACTTCACAGTAGTATGCAAAGAATAGTTTGACAGAGGAACGGCGATACTAAATTAGACAAAGTTATGTGAGAGAATAAACAGTTTGAAAATAAAGGTTAGTATGAATATTCAAAGAGTGAATATATTTATGCCATTGTGATTGATTTTCAGCCATATCATCAGGAGTCCTCAACCACCGATTCTTTTCGTCTCGGGGACCACATTCAGGTAGTCTAAATCTTTGGACACGGCTCAGATCAAATAGTCAGGGACTTCAAGTACTGATGTTACGTCTTAGTCTGGCTACCCTGAACACTCATTCAACCTAATCTAACTTCACCTAGCACGGCACATCGAGGTAAGGGCTAGTTATAAACGCGTAGCACATTTTTAAGCTACCTCAGTGGATGAAGGTTAGCAACTTGTGATTGTAAGCCTGCAACTGCTTCATATCTCCTACTTTTAGCAGCCATGTCTCACAGTAGTACAACAGGGTAGAACGAAATTTAATAGGCAGTGGGGTACGCTACCAATTGGAGCCGTAGATGATATAATATGGCAAATGTTACCCGAACCTTCTATATCCGAGCTGAGATTTCGTCAGAAAACAACTAGATACTGCAATTAGGAGATTATTAAATAAACATTCAAGTAACAGATAGAATTGTGAAAAAAAATTTGAGTTGCATCCACAAATTTTCCAGTAACTAACAATCACTCACTTATCACTTGGATATTTTCACTGATTATGTTGTAGATAGCCTATTCTTGTAGGATGAATGCAACATTTAGGCCAATAACTTTCAAACTTTTTAAGTGCATTTAGTAAGAATATAAATAAACCGAATTCCTCTTGTTGAGAAATGTAACGTGAGGGGATGAGACACAGAGTTTTGCCTTTTATGTGAAGTCCGTCGTCGAATCACCGAGCATCATCCTTCATGACTAAGTAAGGGGGAAACCAGATTGACACGAAGCTCAATACTCTCTCATCTGATTGACACCGGCCACCGACTTAACATTCATAATGCCTTTAAAGTTATTTAACACATTCCTTCTCACCTCACCCATCCTCTACGACTTCGTCTTTTACATACAGCAGAAGCCATAGGAACCCACCTACACAAGCCAAGTCTATGTGTTCAGAAGAGATTCGTACAGCCTCTTTCCTTGCCTTGGCCATCTGTATAGCTCATTTATTACAACAAGACTCTTCATTTCATCCACCGCACAATTCACTATAACTTATATTTTAATAGCTCCATTATTATTATTATTATATTATTGTTATTATTATTATTATTATTATTATTATTACAGACTTAACCAACTTTCTCTCCCCCTACTGTCTCTAATTACCATCAACAATTTACCATTTTACGTAACAGTTCATTTTTGCTCTTTAGTTATCATTATACAAAATATCAATTGTGTAAGAACCTGTTCACAAAATCTTTCTACGATAACTAATCTTTGCTTTAGTTAACTGTTCTTAATTACCTGATCAATTATCACCTTCTTGATACTTTGAGATTGATAACCTTTCATTGAACAACTCTCACCACTAGATTGTTATGTAATTTTACGTTTGAAAATGCTATATTAGTGTAGTTCCATTGATGAGGAAGTAATTGGAAAGAAATATTTCTTCGCTCACATTGTTTGTTTTACTGAAAATGATAAATAGTTATCGACGGTTAGGTGGTTGCAACCAGTAAATTGATAGCTTTATTTAGCCTAGACTTTGAGCTCTTTGGTACTCATCGGCAAAATGTATCTAAAATCTCCACAGAACTTATTTCCTTTTAGGTATTCGAACAATCATAAGCCAGTCAGTGGTGTTATTATTTAACTAATCAAGACACAAATAACTTCAACTTGTTGTCGTCAGCCAGGTGTCATCAACAGTTTCAATAAAGAGTAATTAACCATTTCAGGGTGACTTTACCGAAAATTTACGCTACTTCTAGCGGAAATCGTTGAAAATGTTTTAGGTAGATTATGTATCTGTTTAGTAATGTTCAATTAGTATAATAAAATTACCTCAGTTCTATGTGGTACTAGGCTAAATAGCTGATTTTTATAACATTATCCCGAGTGAGAGAAGCATAACTACGCAGTACATTTTGAACTGTTTCCATAATAATGGGATCTTATTATTCTTTTGACAAATGATTTATCGAAAAAGAACAGTTAAATGATATCTATTGTACAGGAGGCGACTGTCGTGGTTCATCCCCCCTAGTAGATAATGCTGTGACATTTGAAACGATGGATGCTGGGTTCTAGTCTCAGTGGTAATACCGTCCTTAACTAACATGCAGGTACATCACAGGTAGAACGAAACGCACTTCCTTGAGTCCACTGATAACCACCATCAAGTAAAACAACGAGGAAACGTTTGAATTCATTAAGTTAACAGTTCTGCTGACACTCAGACTGTTTCACAAGTCTGTTCATGTTTAAACTTTCTGCTCAACCAAAAGCAGAAATACGGTCTACTTTTTTATACAATCGTTTAAACAAATGTAAGCTGGTTGATAGTTGAAAGTGCCTAGGAAAATGTTTGACGATCTAAAGTAGACTTCATGACAGACTAGTGGCAGTTGGAGAATCGCTGAGAACTAGCAACACTGGATAGATTTCTCGTCCTCTTATGATGCTGCTCAACAGTCCACATTCAAAACTTCACGAGGGGTCAAGCTCAGGACTTTCAATTCTCACAAGCACGAATACAATGCCACTTAACAATTGAAGTGGAACCTTATGATTTACGTTTCACTACTTCTGCTATTCCTTGATATATAGTGTAATCATTAGCTAGTACTACCGGCAAGTTTTTATCTTTGTTCGCAGTGTTGAGAGCTCCCGTATTACGATAAAACAGCTATTCAGTGCTCTCAGATTGTCAGCCGCTCTCTAATTGATGAAAGTCCTTGGAATCAACCAACCAAATATCGTAAACCCCCAGTCAAATTAAAAAGTTGTTGAAGAATGATGTTCGACTTTCAATTTCACGATCTCATCCACATGTGTTATCTCTTAATGATGCACAATGGAACAAAAGGAGATCATGTAAAGTATATGTTTGATTATTGGTTTGCTAGAAAAGACCAAATTAAGCTTTAAATGAGCGGAAATATCATTGGTTATCAGTCTGCCATACCTTATGTAGTTATCCTAGTAGGCATACTATCAAAATACCTATCTAGCACCGGCCTATAATATATATGTTCATATAACCATCGGCTTCGCCTTAATAAATGAAATATGCATGTCAGATATCTTTAAGGAGTGTAAAAAAATCTGGTTTTTGACTGAATCTCTCAAGAAATCGACCATATACGTTGCACGCAGGTGAAATACACTGGATTAAGTACTATGTGAAAAAAATCATACATTTAAGGTGCGAATACGAGTCTATATTACTACTCTATGAGGCATAGTGAATATGCTACCCCGTTCCTCAGGCCGAAATAAGCAGAGTTGAATTGTGAACAGGATATACACTCAAGAGCACTGATAATGATGATGATGAAAAACGGAATTATCAGTTTTACTATCTGAGATAATCATGGTTCAGCAGACTTGTATTGGTACTTTGTGATGATTGAAAATGTAGCAAAAATCCGAGCCACTTCAAGATTCGAACAACCGACCTCCAGGCTATCCACCCTCGGTGCTTTAGCAACAGAGCTAGGGTAGATCTATGATGGATTACTGGTCTGGTAACCCACAGGTCGCTGCTTCAAATCCTACCATAGACCAGATTTTCATTTCAGCTTCAATCATCAGACTATATCAAAAAAGGAATGACAACAGTCCTATGCTAATTTCATATAAATGAACGAAGGTTTTATAAATACTAAATCATAGTAACCAAAATAAAATAACTCACTTTCAAAATTACAAAATCCATTTTAATTTAACAGCAGAATAGGTTACATACACAGGATACTTGTTGAAAGGTGTATATATGTATATCTTTTTCTAGGGTTAACTGAAGTCACTTCTTTTATAATGATTAGTAACACCGCAACTTCATCAGATTAATGTATCAGTAATATGAGTAAATATCCAAATGTTTTAAAAATGCATATCCATCAGTTGAATTTTCATCAATAATTTTTTTTTTAAACTGACTCACTGACTCATTCATTCATTACTCAACTGTGTACAACATAGTTTTCTTTCATTAAAATAATTTAACATAATGTTTGATAGTTAGTCAAGAATTTTATTGGACATTGAACATTGATTGTGTACTATTACGCTTTGTTTGAATGAATCAGTTCTAAAATTATCCATTGTTTGGTTGGTTGATTGAATAATGATATAATCACTCTTATATTATGATTAATAATAATAATAATGATTATTCTTATTGATGTTGGTTGGTTAATGCTAGTATAAACATCTGCATACAGTGATGTATACGTGTGCAGTACATTTGGTGCCAGGTCTTTTGAATGTGCATGTGTGTGTTCTGTGTATGGAAGATAAGTTTGTGTGTAGAAGGTTAGTGTTTCCCGTTTATTTTTTATAATGATTGTGTGTACACAGAAGTACAGTATTCACCTGTTCATTGCAATCTATGAATTTATACAGAATACGTTAATCAATTACGAATGCAATATTTCGTTATAATTCTCATCATCATATGTACATACAATGTTTAAAAAAAATGTTTTGCTAAGCAGAAGTAAAGCCACAATATTATTTTCATGTTTTTTTTCTGTTCATATGTGCACAAAGATGGTGATAGAGACTGTTGTTACAGGTGTATACATTGACCTATGATTATTTGTGATGAGTGAAAGTAAGAGAAGAGATAGGCAAATGGATAGAGTAAACCGCCTCATTAAACAGAAAATTTATCTGTTTGATTATTAGTTAGTCAGTCATATCTAGTCTGTGTTGGCGCGTACTATGACATACATATACACATACGTGATGCGTACGCATCTATGCACACATTTATAGGAATAAAAATCTCGACGTATAGACAACTCACGTTATATGTATTTGTGTGTGTATTTTGGTTTAGACAACCTATGAACTATGAAATGATGGTCAGAGAGAAAAAGAAGGGAGAGAGTAAAAGAATACGGATGATAGATAATATAAAAGCACAATTTTCATACTGGTTAATATATCATATGTTTACCTTCATATAATATTGCCAGTAATAAAAGTAAGGCATAGAAAATGTGAATAAATAAATAATTTAATAATTCCCATTGTAACATCAAGAACAGGATATTCAGCGAAGAGACTCTTTTCAACGAATTTATTTTCAAGTTGTCATCATCATTATCAACATAGGACCAGGCATTACTGCGTAACGGTCCGAGTTGCCACACCTCATATCAGCACATCAAGTAAAAAGGTAGTGAGGTGAAGGATGAAGATAAGTGAATGCAGTCAAAAGAAATATAAAGTAGAGAAGAAAGGAAAGAGGAGTGACAAATAGTGAGATTCGGTATAGCGTTGTTAAGATGAGGATAATGTGTGTATACATCTGCGCCACTGACTTCGGTTCTGAGCCATATCACCTAGGGTCTCCAACCACTGGTTCCTCTTGTCCCGTGGACCCCAACCACCTAGTCTGCATCGTCCTACATGGCTTAAACCAACAGTCAGAGACTTCATACATTGGTGCCATGTTTTAGTCTGGCCACCTCGGGCCTTTTTCCAGCCTGAACCCACCTCAGCCAAATTGTGTGACGAGGCAATCGGTGACTAGGCATACGTAGTACGTGTCCCAACCATCTCAGTCGATGAAGGTTCACAACCTCGTCGACTGACTTACCTCTTCTCCCTAAAACTCTACACCTAACTTCTGCATTACTCACATGGTGACACCACGGAATACGTCCTATACTACGAAGGCAACGGTGGTCAAATACCTGTAACCTTCTCATGTCTTCCACTTTCAATGGCCATGTTTCACAGCCATACAGTAGAACAGAGCGGACTGCTGTGCAGTACACGCGACCCTTAATAGACAAACGAATATCACGGCGGCGCCATAGGTGGCGCAAATTGGCAAAAGCCAATCGAGCCTTTTGTATCCGTGCAGAAATCTCATCGGCAACTAACCCACCGGGTTGATCCTACTTCCCAGGTAAGTGAAGTGGTCAACACACTCAACCACTTCACTCTCTATTGTTAACCGCGGTACCGCTGAAGACCAGTCCTGGAGCAAAAATTTGCATTTGGGTGGTGAAAATCGCATCCCAAACATTCTCAAATTCCCACTCAAAGTGTTCAGAAGACTCTGCATCTTGTCAGCGTCTTCACCTAACAGGACTATGTCATCTGCATATTCTAATCTAAGGAAAATTCACCTGTGGTCAACGTCTTTGTAATTAGGTGACGAGAGGGAAACCTCCATAAGAATATCTATGATAAAATTAAATAAGAATGGGGATAGTGGGCATCCTTGACGGACACCACTTGATGAGTATAGCTCCCTGGACACTCACCATAGGCTCTAACATGCCCACAAGTGTTCGAGTAGAGAGCTTTCAATAAGGTGATGTACTTACTAGGCACGCCTTTCAGTGACAGACACTGCCATAAGACTTCTCGATCAACGGAGTCAAATGCCGCCTTCAGGTCGAGAAATACAGCTATTGTCGGGCGTCTGTAAGCATGCCTATGTTCCAGGACCTGGCGCAGTGTGAATATTTGGTCGATACATCCACGGCCAGGTCTAAAGCCTGCCTGGTTTTCTCGGGCTTGTGTTCCCGAGCTCCACTCAGGCGTCGGAGAATTATAGAACTTAGGATCTTAGACACTATGTTTGTCAGGCTGATTCCTCTGTGGTTATCACAAGAGGACTTCTCGCCTTTCTTGAAGACTGGGATGATCAGTGACTTAGACCAGTCGGAGGGGATCGTATTTGATTCCCATATACTGGCTAACACTTCCGTTAGCCTGACTAAGAGAACTCTACCACCATTCTTGTATACCTCAGCAGGTAGTCCGTCTGGTCCTGCTGCCCTTCCCGTTCAGGCTACCTACCGCTTTCTCACTTCTTCTAGTTGGGGGACCTGTCTCTATGTCCCATTCAGGGTCCGATGGATAGCGGGCAGCGCAATGGTGGCTGGAGGCCAGTTAAACTGTTCCTCAAAGTGTTCTGCCCATCGTCCCAGTCGCCTTCCCTGCGAGTGAATCGCGATCCGTCCTTCTCCGCTATAACCTCACTAACTGTTGTTGACCATTTCCCCCCAGTCTCCTTAATAAGTCTAAATAACTGTCTACTGTTACCGATCGCCGCTGCCTTTTCCATCTCTTTAGCCTTGCTGCCCACCACTGTTCACGATCGTTGCGCAGACTTTTCGTCAGTTTATTTTTAAGTTGCGCTCGCTCTTCATTGTACTCAGAGCCTGCAGGGATGCATTCACGTGCATCCATTAGTTTGGAAGAAGCTGCTGATATCCACTGGCTCTTTTTAGCCATTATCTTGGAGTCGCTACAGCTCCAGTGCTGCTTTTACAGTAGACTGAAGATGGCACCAAGCTTCTTCTGGATGAGTGACAGTTTTGTTCCGATAACTGCCTAGCCAACTTCTCACTGAACACGGCTTTGGTGTTTTCGTTGTCCAGCAGAACTCTAGTGGTTTTGTTGCCAAATTTTTTCTACGTCCATTGAGACGCAGGCATATACGTGCTCGGACCAACGCATGATCGCTGTCCAAACACGTACTCCAAAGGAGCGGCAGTCTTCCACCGATCCTCTCCAGCGATGACTAATAGCAATGTGGTCTATCTGTGTCCATCGCTGAGTCGAGCTCGGTGGACGCCAGGTCAGACAGTGCCTTTCTTTATGTCTGAAATTTGTGCTGGCTAAAAATAGGCGGTTATCTGAGCATAGTTGTAATAGGCGATCACCGTTATCTGTACGTTCAGCTGGGATTCCGAAAGTGCCACCTAAGTGCCTTTCTGCCTCACTCAGTCTACCCACCTGTGCGTTGAGGTCACCTGCAACAACCACTACGTCCGAACGTTTGGCTTTCGAGAGGAGGTTAGACAGTTTATGGTAGAACTCGTCCTTCACTTCATCCGAACTACAGTCAGTGGGTGCGTAAGCAGAGATTACAAAGAGACAACGGCGAGTCTCACTATTCCTTTTAGTTCTCACTGTGCCGTTCAGCCTCATAGGCAGAGGCGACTATCAACTGGGATCCAGTCTAGTAGTGAGTTTTCTGCCCTGGTGCTTAATGCTATACCTACACCTGCAAGACCACGAGAGCTAGCTATCGAATCTCCAGAAACTCGAAGGGTGAATTTTGCAGATTCACCAGATTGGTCAGGAGAGGTCAGGTGAATAACCAACTTGGGTCCTGTATGCGTGTCTCACAAACACAGCACACATCCATGCCGAGTTGCTAGAGTCTTGCCAACGAAGCCTGTTGGCCAATTTGACGGAGGGTGCGGACATTGAAGGCTCCAATATGTAATTTGGAGCGTGGTTTAAGGAGACCAGGGACTGTTCTGTGGACTCAGATCGTTGTCGAAGGCTGCAGAGGTAGGAGAAATTGAAGATGATGCAGCATCATTAATTAAGAGACGTGAAGGAAGATTAGAAGGTAGATGAGGAGGAGGATAGCAGTCAGAAGAAACTTGGGTGCTGACAGAGTTGTGAGGGCGGTTGACACTTCCCGGCTGCCCACACCGTGGAAGGCTATTTCTTCTTAAGGTACCTGAAAGAGATTTGTGTGACCGCAGAGCCCATCGGACATCTGCTTGAGGCCTGTCACACCCAGCCTTTTGAGTATGATTATTTTGAATTTTTGTATTTTTGGGGCCGGATGAGCGAAAGGAAACGACAAGTGAACCAACACCGCCGGCCCGGCAGACCGTGGGGCGTGGTGGAGTGTGTTATTTTTGGGGCCGACCTTTTCTAACCCCCCCTTCCACTGAGAAGGCAGCATCAGCTTGGCACTGCTGGTCATCCAAGGGAAACACCTTACTGCTGTCACACCCCATCCAGCTAGCAGCAGTACGACTTCGCCCTCAGACCCCCATCATAGTAGCAATTTACACTATGACGGTAACTGCTTTTCGTCTAACCACTACCCAACAGACCTTCTGGTATGGTAGGACCTCGAGGAACAAGCGTTCCACCAGCATAGCTCGTTGGGTCATTGTGATATGCAAGCCCGACCCACGTCAAGGTAGCAGCTATCGGTCGTTGTACAATCGTATATATATGATATTTGGAAAAAATTATATCCCGTTAGGAAAACTAAACACTATATGGTGACGACAATAATAATAGAGCGGATGATGGCATAGGCATTTGTGATTATAATAACAATTGAAGTGCGAATGATAACAAATAGATTATGTAATATATGGAATGGTACATAGAGAGTATAAGTAAATAAATAAACTGACTTTATTTCTCGATCAGAATTATTTCAGCTTAATTATATCATAGATATTAGCTGGTTGGAACCCTTTGACCCAGGTTTCGTGCTTGTTATCACTGGTCAGCAAGGCGTATCTACAATGTCTACGGAAGTGATGTTCTGCATGAGGCTTAAACCCATGTCATCCAGCGCTGCAGTAAGAGACGTTACCACTGAGCTGTTATGGTAAGGGTAAGGTCAGTGATGAATGTATTAGTTATTAAGGATGACCTAGACCTGAAAATTCTATTTGATAACATCATGCATGGTACATTATCTCAGTAGTCGAATGCAGTATGGAGTAGTGTGTCTAGCCCTCGAGATGCCGAAGAGATGAATGCGTTAGTTATTAAGGAAAGTGCAATTAAGTAAACTCATCAGGCTACTGGATCTTCAGTAGCGATGGAAGTCTATCGGTCATTTCTCGGTGTTTGTGACATTGATTG